GCCCGGGCTGGATTCGAACCGGCCACCTTGGGTGTACATGGCTAGCACCTTAGCCACTTGAGCCCCAGGCGCCAAGCCCAATAATGTTCTTTATAGCATATTTTTTCTTTAAGTACAGTTTACAGGCTAGGATCAGTTAATGAGTTTGCTTGCCATATCTGTTTATTTTCCTTTAATTAGGAACATTTCTGTAGCCTTTCCTTGTCTTTTATGACATTAACATTTTTGAAGAATATAATCTACAACCACCTTGTCCCCCTTTTTCAATAGATTGTTCCTCATTTTGGATTTGTCTGATACTTTTTTACAATTAGATGCAGGTTATACATTCCCCAACAGAAATGATACAAGTGATTTTGTGTCCTCAGGGTATCACATCTGATGGCACATATTATTCATCTGTTTCTCATTGGCAATGTTAGTTTTGGTCATCTTGTCAAGATGTTGTTCTATTTCTCTATGTATAGTTAATATTTTTTCCCCTTGCAACTACTCTGATATCTTAAATATATCTATTACTTGCTCTAGTATATACTGTATAGAATTATTGTCTGGATAATTATTGCGTGGATAGGAAACAAAAGAAATGGAGTGATTCAGGTGTTAATGTTCTCTGTTCTGGGGCAGAACTATTGGAGGTCATTGTCTATTTGCTTTCATGGGTTTCCAGAGTGGAAAAGGAGCAAAGTTTAAAGCTTTGTCCAAGGATAGCAAATAGATTTCAGTTTATATTATACTTAAAAAAATTTTCTCAGAAAATTTTGTTTCTATGAATGGAAAATTAGTAATGTCAAAGTAATTTTTAAAAGCTTTAGATATCAATTTTTATAATTGATGAAAAAAATTATATAAAATGAAGATTGATGGGGTAATTTTATTCTTTTTTTTAGAGAAATAGGGTCTCACTCTGTCACCCAGGCTGGAGTGTAATAGTGCAGTCTTAGCTTACAGCAGCCTTGAACGCCTGGGCTGAAGGGATCTCTTGCCTTAGTGTCCTGAGTCACTGGGACTACAGGTACATGCCATCAAACCTGGATCATTTTTTAATTTTTTGTAGAGATGGGGTCTCATTCTGTTACTTAGGCTGGTTTCAAACTCCTGGCCTCAACCTACCAAAGTGCTTGGATTCTAGGCATGAGTCACCTTTTTTTTTTTTTTTGAGACAGAGTCTCACTTTATCAGCCTTGGTAGAGTGCCGTGATGTCACAACTCACAGCAACCTCAAACTCTTGGGCTCAAACAGTTCTCTTGCCTCAGCCTCCCACGTAGCTGGGACTACAGGCACTTGCTACAACGCCAGACTGTTTTTAGAGACAAGCTCTCACTGTGGCAGAGGCTGATCTCGAACCTGTGAGCTCAGGCAATCCACCCACCTCAGCCTCCCAAAGTGCTAGGATTACAATCATGAGCCACGACGCCTACCCTATTGTACACACACACACACACACACACACACACACATATATTTTTTTTGGAGACAGAGTCTCACTATGTTGCCCTTAATAGAGTGCCATGGCATCACAGCTCATAACAACTCTTGGGCTTAAGCGATTCTCTTGTCTCAGCCTCCCAAGTAGCTGGGACTACAGGCACCTACCATAACACCCGGCTATTTTTTTGTTGTAGTTGTTGTTTGGCAGGCCCAGCCTTCATTCTAACCCACCAGCTCTGATGTATGTGGCTGGTACCCTAGCCACTGAGCTATAGGCACTGAGCCAATTGTACATATTTTTAAGTCTGCTGCTCTGTGGCATTGAGTATGTTTAATACTCAGGAGGAAGAGGTTACTGTGAGGTATGACACCACAATCCTCTACTGAAGGTAACAAAGTGAGACTGTGTCCAAAAAAAAAAAAAAATATATATATATATGTATATGTGTACAGTGATAAATTTTGTTTTGTATATTTTGCCACACTCACAAACAGATTTTTTTTAAATGTCAAATAGTACAGAAAGGGTAAAAGTAGAAAGAAGTCTTTTTTTCCCACTCCCCAGAACTAAACACTATACATAATTTTCTATTACATACAGACAACTGAATCAGGCTCTGTGTGTGTGTGTATGTTTTATTATTGTTATATGTGTTTCTGTTTTGTTTTTGAGATGAGATCTCACTGTGTTGGTATTCACAGGAACAATTGTAGTGCACTAACTCAAATTCTTTTTTTTTTTTTTTTTTTTTTTTTTTTGAGACAGTCTCGCTCTGTCACCCTGGGTAGAATGCCATGGCATCATAGCTCACAGCAACCTCCAACTTGGGCTCAAGTGATCTGCATGCCTCATTTTTTCTATTTTTTAGTAGAGATGGGATCTTGCTTTTGCTCAGTCTGTTCTTGAACCAGTGAGCTCAGGCAATCTACCCACCTTGGCCTCCCGGAGTGCTAGGATTATGGGCATAAGCCACCAGGCCTGGCCACTAACTCAAATTCTTGTACTCAAATGATCCTCCTTGCCTCAGCCTCCTGAGTAGCTAGGATTACAGGCATATACCACTATACCCAGCCTAAATCATTTTTCTTTTTTGAAACAGAGTCTCAAACTGTCACCCTGAGTAGAGTGTTGTAACATCATAGCTCACAACAACCTCAAACTCTTGGGCTTAAGCAATTCTCTTGCCTCAGCCTCCCAAGTAGCTGGGACTACAGGCGCCTGCCATAATGCCTGGCTATTTTTTGGTTGTAGTTGTCATTGTTGTTTGGCAGACCCGGGCTGGACTCGAACCCACCAGCTCTGATGTATGTGGCTGGTGCCCTAGCCACTGAGCTATAGGTGCCAAGCCTAAATTTGAGTTTTTTGGCAAAGAGTCTTAGTCATGAATAGAATGTTTCCTTTTTAATCCATTATATGAATGAATTTTAAAGTTGCATTTTTCTTTTTTTTTTAGTTTAATACAGTTTTTTAGTAAAATGAAGAAATGGATGGACATGTCAAACCTGCCACAAGAATTCCGTGAACGTATAGAAAGGCTAGAGAGAAATTTTGAAGTGTCTACTGTAATTTTCAAAAAGTTTGTGCCAATTTTTTTAGATATATTTCAAAATCCATATGAAGAACCAACAAAGTTACCACGAAGCAGGAAACAAAGGTGAAGCTCTTAATCCTTATATAATCAACATAAAGATTCTAATACAAACTTAAAAGAGTTTACTTTCTTGAAAGCCTACTTTTGCAAGAAATACCCATCTGCAAAGAACTTAAATTCCTTTTTAAATCCATGTACAATTATCCATATGTGGAAATTGAGGGTAATACTTTTACTTATTTTTTTGTGTTCTGATTATTTTATGCTGATTGGAAAAGTTTATTTACTTAAGTCCATTTCATACATCATAGATTATCTTTCCTTTGTAAATGGAATTTTATGTATAAGTTGACTTTACCATTTATTATTTATATTTATTATTTCAATTTACGTGATATTTAACAAGCTAGTCAGATGAAAAAAATATATATTTTTTTCCCTTTTTAGGAGGATTCCTTGCACTGTAAAGGATCTCTTTAATTTCTGTTGGACACTGTTTGTATATACTAAGGGTAAGGTAATGCTTTCAGTGGTCTTACATTTCTACTATGAGAACTTAGTGCTATTTTACATGAAAGGTTTCTGGCTTTTGTGTCCTTTTTTCTTATAAAGGTAATTTTCGTATGATTGGGGATGATTTAGTAAACTCTTATCATTTACTTCTGTGCTGCTTGGATCTGATTTTTGCCAATGCCATTATGTGCCCTAATAGACAAGACTTGTTAAATCCATCCTTTAAAGGTAAGACCTTTATTTATTTTTGAAAACTGATTATCAATTTTTGGAAAAAGTTTTAAAAGTTGACCATATTCTTTTTTCCCCCTGTTCTTCTTCATACCTTGTCAAACTAGGTTTACCATCTGATTTCAATACTGCTGACTTTAAAGCTTCTGAAGAGCCTCCCTGCATCATTGCTGTACTGTGTGAACTGCATGATGGACTTCTGGTAGAAGCAAAAGGAATAAAAGAGCACTACTTTAAGCCATATATTTCAAAACTTTTTGATAAGAAGGTACTGTACTTATAATTAAATGATTGAGATGTTTAGGGGCCAGCAATAGCCTCAAAGGAAAAAAAAATGTTTTAAGCAAGTCCTCAGCATTATAGGACTCAGGGTCAAGATTTTCAGGTTTCAGTACCTGCTGTGATGCAGAATTTCCCTGTGATCATGTGTGATGTAGAATTTCCCTGTGATCTTGTGTGATGTGAGAATGTGAGCTATTAAAGAATGTCACAAACTATATGCACTGTCAGGTAAAATACACTGTCAGTGGCAACCATAGGAGGTACAGATAAAGAATTATAAAGAAGAAAACAGTGGGGTAAGCCTGATAAAGAATTATGAAAAACAGGAAGTAAGAGTAAGCTGATTTACTACTACAGTTGAATAACTGCTTTCTGTTTACTAAAAGTAGGCTAATATATAATTACTGTAGTTGTAATTCCATATAGAGCAGGAAATCCATTATAGGTTTTAGTTACTTGTAGACTACCTGAATGCATTCCGAATTTCTGAATTTTTTCTCCTCAGTAATTATTTATTTCTACATTTATACTTTATCTTGTTCTTTTGGGTTTCAAGTTCTTATTTCCCCAATAGTGAGCCATTAAGTCTAGTTAGGCCTTGAGATTTCTCTTTCCTAAAAAGAGGAATTTGGATCAGATTATTATTGTGGGCCTTCACGTGGCAAATACTGAGATTTTTCTTTAAGCATAAGTGCTTTCCTAACTGGTCTCTTCCTTTCTTATACTAACTTTTGTATTTAGTCTTATCTTTAAGTACATGAATGAATGTATGCATGCATGTTCTTTATATGTATGCTAAACATCAACATCTCATCCAGCAAAACAAACTTTTAAAGGAACCCAGGGATTATGTTCAATGTCCTCTGCATAAGCAACATACTACCTGGGTACAATGACCATAAAACTTAGTTTGCCTGGATTATCTGGTATTTGGCTATTGTTTTGGCATAATTATTAATGTTATAGTACCTCCTTTAACTCTAGAAATATCCTCCTTTAGATGTTGATCTTCTTGCCTTGTGGGCAAGATGATCTTGTGGGCATAGATGTTTTGTTTGGCCTGGATAGATATGCTATAAAAATAATATAATACTTATTTTTATTTCATTCAATATTTTCATTTAAATATCAAAAACTTTTTTTCTTTTTTTTTTTTTTTGAGACAGAGCCTCAAGCTGTCGCCCTGGGTAGAGTGCTGTGGCATCACAGCTCACAGCAATCTCCAACTCCTGGGCTTAAGCCATTCTCTTGCGTTAGCCTCCCAAGTAGTTGGGACTACAGGCACCTGCCACAACACCCAGCTACTTTTTGGTTGTAGTTGTCATTGTTGTTTAGCAGGCCCGGGCTGGATTCAAACCCGCCAGCTCTGGTGTATGTGACTGGTGCCTTAGTCACTTGAGCGATAGGTGCTGAGCCTAAATATCAAGAACTTTCAGCTGAAAATTTTTTAAAAATCTGAAGCTATGGCTCAGTGCCCATAGCACAGTGGTTACAGTGCCAGCCACATACACCGAGGGTGGCGGGTTCTAACCTGGCCCCAGCCAGCTAAACAACAATGACAACTACAACAGAAAATAGCCGGCATTATGGTGGGTACCTGTAGTCCCTGTTACTTGGAAGGCTGAAGCAAGAGAATCACTTAAGCCCAAGAGTTTGACATTTCTGTGAGCTGTGACACCATGGCACTCTACCAAGGGTGACATAGTAAGACTCTGTCTCAAAAAAATAAAAAATTAGAAGTTATGGCAATACTGGGTTGGAGTTTCTACAGGGTTTACTGGTGTCATGCTAAATGATGACCACTTCTTTTAGGATGAGAAGCATGCTTCTTGCCCTCTTCATTTATGTGTTGAACCTTGACTCCTGAAGGCACTTGGATTGGCAAACCCTGTTGTATAATATTCAAAGTATTATGTGGGTACATAGAACATATTAATAACAAGGTAGTTTTCCTCTCCCACCATTGATAATACACACACACACATATATATACTCTCTTTGAATCTTTTATGTCTCTAACACATATGATTCAATTAATGTTAGTTTCCCTTGGCTCGGCGCCTGTGGCTCAAGCGGCTAAGGCGCCAGCCACATACACCTAAGGTGGCAGGTTCGAATCCCCAGCCCGGGCCCGCCAAACAACAATGATGGCTGCAACCAAAAAATGGCCAGGCGTTGTGGCGGGCGCCTGTAGTCCCAGCTACTTGGGAGGCTGAGGCAGGGAACTCGCTTGAGCCCAGGAGTTGGAGGTTGCTGTGAGCGTGATGCCATGGCACTCTACCCAGGGGGATAGCTTGAGGCTCCGTCTCAAAAAAGAAAAAAAAAAATGTTAGTTTCCCTTTTCCATAGACCAGTGTTTAATAATAGGCAGCTTTCATCAAAATCACATAAGGAATTTATTAAAAATACTGCCTCAGTTTAGGGCCTAAGGTCCTTCAGTCTGCATTTTAACAAATTTTCCCCTATGTTATTTTTCTTTGTTTGTTTGGTTTTTAATCTTTCCAGGTCCACTATAAGTGATTCTTATATCACTAAAATTTGGAGAGCACTACCATAGACTAACAACAAAATAATTTCAAAATATGACTATAAGTGTTCGTTTGGTTGTTTTTAACATTTTTTTTTCTTGAGACAGAGCCTCAAGCTGTCCCCCTGGATAGAGTGCTATGTCATCACAGCTCACAGCAACCTCCAACTCCTGGGTTCAAGCGAGTCTCTTGCCTCCACCTCCCAAGTAACTGGGACCACAGGCGCCCACCACAACGCCCAGCTATTTTTTGGTTGCAGCCGTCATTGTTGTTTGGCTGGCCTGGGCTAGATGTTTTTAACGTTTTATTTGTGCCAGGCATAGTACCTCACACCTGTAATCCCAGCACTTTGGGAGGCCAAGGCAGGAGGATCACTTAAGGCAAGGAGTTTGAGGCCAGCCTACTCAGCAGACTTCATCTCTACCAAAAATTTAAAAAGAGTAGCTGGCATAGGGGCAGTGCCTGTGGCTCAAAGGGGTAGGACGCTGGCCCCATATGCCGGAGGTGGCGGGTTCAGACCCAGCCCTGGCCAAAAACTGCAAAAGAAAAAGAGTAGCTGGCATAATGGCTTATGCCTATATTCCTAGCTGCTGGGGAAGCTAAGTTGGGAGGTTTATTTGAGCCTAAGAGTGTGAAGTTACATTGAGCTACGATTATGCCACTGTACTCCAGCCTGGGCAACAGAGAGAGACTCTGGCTCCTCAAAAAACAAAAACAAAAAACCAACTTTTATTTGCATGCTAAATAGGTTTCACTCATCTGAAATGATTTAGTAATTCTGTTTTGTGTGTATGTTGTAATAATTAACAATATGAAAATTTAGATAAATTTCATGTTTGGGGGTGTGTTTTATTTATTTATTTATTTATTTATTTATTTATTTATTTTGAGACAGAGCCTCAAGCTATCCCCCTGGGTAGGGTGCTGTGGCGTCACGGTTCACAGCAACCTCCAACTCCTGGGCTCAAGTGAGTCTCCTGCCTCAGCCTCCCAAGTAGCTGGGACCACAGGTGCCCACCACAGCGCCTGGCTATTTTTTGGTTACAGCTGTCGTCGTTTTGGTGGGCCTGGTCTATATTCAAACCTGCTACCTTAGGTGTATATGGCTGGCGCCTTAGCCACTTGAGCCACAGGCACTGAGCCTGGGGGTGTGTTTTAATCTGATTAATTATATGATAACCCCAAATAATTTTTTCTTTCCAGATTTTAAAAGGAGAATGCCTCCTGGACCTTTCTAGTTTTGCTGATAATAGGTAAGTATCTAGCATTGAATGGTGTCTGGCATATTATGAGCTGCCAATAATGATTCGTTGAAACTTATTAAGATAACATTATATCGGCTCGGCGCCTATGGCTCAACCGGCTAAGGCGCCAGCCACGTACACCTAAGGTGGCGGGTTCAAA